AGGTTGCACTGAGCCATGCTGGGGCCACCAGGTACCCCGAAAGTAGCCCATGGTGGACACATTGGGAGGCCTCGACTACTTCACTGGCATCAGGACCTCCTGCTTCCCACAAAAAGCCTGGAGGACCCTGGGCTCTCAAGGTGGAGGGTATGCTCAGTCCTTCCCCCTCCACCCCTAGCTGGGCCCCAGTACCTGGCTCCTGGACCACATAGGCCACACCACAGGAGCCATCCTTGCGGTCCTCGAAGGAGATCTCAGCTTTGCTGGGGCCCTCAACAGCAATGGCCAAGCCACCAGCACCAGCTTCTCTGGTCCAGATGCTGAATTCAGCTGTGGGAGAGCAGTGTGTCCACACGGAGGGCTGTGCCCAGGCCTGCCCCCCTGCCCTGGGCCCACATGGGAGAACAAGAGCTCAGTGAGCAAGCAGGCCTACCTGGCACACCAGCTTCAGCCCTCTCCAGGCCAGGGCCCCCAGCGCGGACCTTGTGGGCGCCCCCTTCCCCCAGGGGCCCCACAGTGAACTGGAAGGGGCTCCCAGGCACGTGTTGGCCCTTGTACTTGACGCTGACCGTGTGTGTGCCCATCTCAGCGGGCACAAAGCGGATGCAATAGGTGTGGTTCTCCCCTTCCACAATCTCGGCTTCATGGCTCTTGCCTGAGGGGCTGGTCACCTGTGCTGTCATGTCCTGGATGCTAATTTCTGCAGGTGGGGAGTGGTCTGGTGAGGAGGAACCCTGGACCCCAGCCCTCTGCTCAGGGCTGCCTGAGCCTCAGGACCCCTCTGTGGTTCCCTGCAGCCCCTACCAGGGATCTTCAGGCTGAGGTCACAATGACTGCCAACGTTGGCCACTGAAGGGGCCCGTCGCCTGCGTGTGATGCTCTCTTTGACTCGGCCCTCACCCGTCACCTTCACAGAGAAGGGGCTACCTGCAGGAAGAAAGCACAGCCCACACCCCACTCCAGTTACACACTGCAGGTGGGCTCTGGGGTGCAGTGAGGACGGGGCCAAGCAGCAAGGGAAGTATGTGGCTGCCATACTCACCAGGGACATGCTGGTCAGCAAACTTAATGTTGATGATGTAGTTGCCTGGCTCTGTGGGGCAGTAGGTAACCCTGCACGTGCCATCCTCCAGGTCCTCTGTGTTGATGTCAACCTTGCTGGGACCCTCAATGGACAGGCTGAGTCCACCATACCCTGAGGGGCAGAAACCACTGAGCCAGGGCACCAGGCACAGTGGTTACACCCCAGCTGGCAGGCTACCACCTCCTACCTGCATCTCGGGTATCAATGATAAACTCTGCAGGTTCAAAGGTGTGGCCTTCATGGAGGCCCTGGCCTGAGACCCGCACGCGGCTCGCATCCCCGATCTCTGACTGGCTGATCACCACAGGGATGGGGCTGCTTGCCACATGTTGGCCATTCTTCTTCACATGTACCAGGTGCTCCCCTGTTTCCTTGGGCACGAACGAAATCCCTGAGCACAGGGCAGGGTTGTTAGCTGGGAAAGGCATTGACCTCCATAGTCTGGCTCCTTCTTGGAAAGCCCTGGTCCCTCAGCCTCTTACCCACGTGTCCGTTACGCAACCGCTTCAGCAGACAGGGCTCCTCTCGGCCCGAGGGTGGCACCACAGTGGCTGTCAGCAGGCTGAGGTCTGTCTCTGAGATGTTGATGGGGATGTCGGCAGCAGAGCCCACCTTCAAGTGGGACATCCGCATCGAGTCATCACCTGGTGAGGGGGTAGGCCATCGATCCTATGCCTCCAGTTGCAGAAGAAACAGCGCCCACCCTGCTGCCTCCTTCCATCATGGTTACTTCCTGGGCCACCCACCTGTGACCCTGGCAGTGAAAGGGCTGCCTGGGATGTGCTGCTCATTGTACTTGACCAGGATGCTGTAGTCTCCAGGCAGCACGGGCAGGTAGGAGACACTGCATGTCCCATCCTGGTTGTCAGTGCAGCTGATTTCAGCTTTGGATGGGCCCTCAATGGCCAGTGACAAGCCCCCTGGAGAAGAGGTGTGGTGAGGGTTGGAACGAAGCCCAGGGCAGTGGGATGGGAAACCCCATCCAGGAATAACTGCTAAGTCCAGGCCTTAGCACCCCAGGAACACAGCAGGTCAGAACCAGAGCTGCCACTCACCTTCTCCTGCCTCCTGCATCCTTGGTGTTGACAGTGAAGGTGGCAGGCTTGTTGACCACTCCATGAGTGAGGCCAGGCCCATAGGCGGTGACATGGCCACAGTTGACATAATCCACATAGAACTGCAAGGGGCTTCCTGAGGCAGGAAAAGAGGCGACATGGAATGCCAGCCTAGCATCCCCTTGCACACATCTCTCTGCAGCAGTGGTGGTGTGGTGGGGTGGGGTGGGCAGAGCAGGTTGGGCACACCTGGGATGTGCATATTGTCATAGCGGATGTCCATCTCGTGCAGGCCAGCTTCGCTGGGTGCATAGCGCACAGTCACGGTGCCGTCCTTGTTGTCCGTGATGGCAGGCTGTGCCACCTTGCCTGAGGGCATCCGAACCTCTCCTGTAGAGCAGCAGGGCTGGGGTCAGGGCGGCTCGTCAGCATGCCCTGGCCTCCTCAGCTACCAAGCTCCTTCCCAGCCCCTACTCACCAGTGATCTCACCCTTCTTTATGGTGAAGGGAATAACCAGGTCAAAGGGCCTCAGGCTGGTCACATCCAGCCCATTGACACCTACCAGGGGCCTCTCTGGGGCCTGCAGTAGAGATAGAAGGTCCAGGTGAGGGGCTGTGGAGTACCTGGGAGCCCTCCCCACAGATGGCAACCCCAGTGTCCCCTTGGGCTGGACAAGCCAGGAGGCAGAGGGCCAGGCTGTACCCAGGTCTGCTGGCTGCCCTGGGTGCAGGTGTACTGTGGGGTCCGCTGCTGAGGCCGTAACGGGGGCTGCGCCGAGGGCTGGTCTCCAGCCAGAGCCTGCAGGGCAAAGCAAGGGAGCTGGAGACTGCCGCACAGAAGAGCCCAGGGGCCAGGCCAAGGCCTGACCGGACCCCTGCCCACCACCCCAGCCTGCTCCTCACCGTCCCTTG